AAAATATATAAGTGTTTGTGTACCTACATATGGCATATGAATATATATTTACCTGTGTGTACAGGGGTGCATCTTTGTCAGGAACAAGCCACAGTGAAGGGCAAAGGGTGTGATTTAGTATGGCTACTTGATTTGAATAATTACCAGCAAAGGTAACTTTCTGTATGACAATCCCTAACTTGATCCAAAACTAATAATTAAAAAAAAAAAACAAAAATAATTAGATCACAAACACAATCCTTGAGAACATAAATACACAGTAATCAAAATAGCTGTTGTATGACTATAATGCTCTACAAACACTAGTAGAAATGCTTTTTTTCCTTCATTGGTTTTGTTGTTGCTTTTTTTTTTTTCTGCTCTTACATCAGTTCTTCATTGACAACACCAAGCAGAATTACTCATTGACCAAACACTGGGACTAAGAAAGCAACTAATAAGCAAAAATTTTATTGTAGCCTTGTGGACCACAACACTAGCAATAATCCAGCTATGTAGGCTATAGGTTCAGTGCGGACGGGGAAGAATCAAATATTAACATGCTCTAAATCACTTAAGGTTTTCTGTTGACATTTCTATCACTTATTCTGCAAGCAGCTGTAGCTAAGTCAGACTTGCAGTACAAAGATATTAACTACTATAGTTAGACACATATCCAGGTAACCAATGACAGGATGCAAGAGAATGACACAGAGCTGAACAAGGGGAGGTTCAAGCTGGACATCTGGAACGGCTTCTTTACCATAAGGTGGTCAAACACTGGTCCAGGCTTACCAGAGAGGTGGCTGGTGCCCCATGTTTGTCAGCATTCAAGAGGCATTTGGATAAGGCCCTCCATGATATGCTTTAGCTTTAGATTAGTCCTGAAAAGGTCAGGAAGTTAGGAGATCTCTGAAGATCCCTTCCAGGTGAACTATTCCACTATGTTCTGTGATACAGTGAGAGATGGATTCCCTACGAGATACTGACTTTCTACTAATGAGGGAGAGCACCCAGACTGTTCCAAACAGCAGTCTGGCTTATGAAAATTCTCAGCACATCAAGCCCAGTAGTAGCTAGTTAACTACCCTGGATTTGGGGTGCTGGGAAGCAAGAGAAGGGTAGGACGACCAAGTGCTGTATTACTTCTCACAGATATCTATTAGGCAAAGAGGTCTTCAAGTTAAGGGCAGTTACAGCTACCTCCTGGGCTGCTTGTGCAGGAATTAATCCACTCCTGACATTCTTGTCAATTTTAATCCTGTATCCAAGAAGCTCAAACCTGACACACAAAAGTTTGTTCAGACTTTGTTGTCACTATTACAAAGTTAAACAGAAGATAAGGCATAAAGATAAAAACATTTTCACTAGATGTTTTAAAATGAAAAACAAGTACATTTAGTGTACTAGAAGAGGCCTTTCATTACCTAATTCACACTTAGCTTTCTAAATGCTTTACAAACCCTAATTAACACAGTCCTTCAAGAACTTAGAAGCACAGCAGATAACTACAATTACAGCTATTTATATATGTAAAAAGACACAGTGATAAAGCAAAGATTAGAACTGAATAGTTCTTGGCTCACAGTTTTGATTCCACACTAAGGTCTAGACTGTAAAAAATAAAATTTAGTGGATATTGCTTCCTTTCTGATGGACACATATGCTTACAGGTCTATGAAAGTACTTAGTGCATTGAGTTCAAAACATATTCCTGAGTTTTGTGTTTATATATATTTTTGTGTTTATACATACCTTGCTCTCTCTGTTGATCTTTTTGTTCCATGGAAACAAGAGCAGAGAAATGTGCCTGATCATAGGCTAGAACCAGAGGTGAGCAATGGCATCTGTTAGGTAGAACTTCAAGTGGCAAATAAATTCCTCCAAATGGTATAGGTGCAAATGCTGCAATGACAAAATAAGATTACTTTTTTTCTTTTAACTATGAAAAAAGACACTAATGTTGCTTTTACTGTACGTAACAGCTGTGCTACACTGTTTTCAGAACTCAAGAAGAAGAGCTCTGAAGGGGAGCAATCAATAGGGGAAACAGTCATAACAGCAGGTAAAATTTTGTTATAAAAGTATCAGGAAATACACTAAGGGCAATAATGAAAACACTCCACTTTTACATAACTTTCCTTAGCCTGTTTACTAGTAAAGATATAAAAGTATTTTAACAAAATCTTGATGACTGTTACATGTTTAACATATCCGTAAGGACAAAGCTCCAAAAGGATTGCCTCTTTATTTTTATTAATAATTTTTATTTTTTTAATATTATTTATTAAATAATATTTTATTACATTGGCCCACAACGTCAGAGGTGCCTGTTGGTGGGATGGCAGCAGAGGGGCAGTCCGACAAAACAGAATCTGATATGGAAGTGCAGATGAAGCAAAGGTTTAGAATTGAATTCCTCCATGTGGAAGAACTGCACCTACTGACAATTCATTGACACTTACTGAATGTTTCTGGAACCCAAACAGTGGATGTGAGCACAGTGAGACAGTGGGTGGTACATTTCAGCCATGATAATAGCAATGTGAAATATAACCATGTTCTGGAAGGCCATGCACAGGTGTCACACCATGAAATGAAGACTGCCTCAATCAGTTATCAATGCCAATCAGTGGGTTATGACCAGGGAACTGCGTATGGAGCTTAATATTGGCTTTAATATTTGGAAATGATGGTGGCAATTTTGGAGTATCACAACACTTGTGTCAGGAGTGTCCCATAAATGCTCACTTGGGAACAGAATGAATACCATATGCAGGTTTGTCAGGGATTGTTAGATCAATATTAGGCTGGAAGTGACATTTTCCTCAATCTCATAATTACTAGTAGAGACATGGTGTCACCATGTCTCAAGTCAAAACTTGCAAACCATGGAGTGCAGGCATAAGCATTTCTCACTGAAAAAAAGTTCAAAACAAGCTTCAGTGGGTAAAGTGATATGCACCCTCTTCTGGGGACAGGAAAGGGGTGATCCTTCTGCACTTCCAGAAACAAACAACCAACTCTGACTGCTACACTGCAACGGTGACTAAATGAAGGCTCTAACTTCCAGTCAGGCCAGAGATGATATGCTTTCTTTTGCAACACAACAACACCAGGCCTCATAGCAGTTTGAAGATTGTAGAGTACATTGTCAGACTTGGCTCAACTGTCCTACTGCACCCATCATACAGTCTGGGTTTGGCACCTTCTGACTTCCATCTGCTCAGGCCAATGAAAGATGGACTGCATGGGGAACATTTTACAAGGAACATCATGGCAGCTGTGAATCAGGAGGTATTCTCCACTGGTGCAGATTTTTATGAGTGCAGCATGCCAGCTCATGTCCATTGCTGGAGAAAATGCATAGCTAATGGTAGTGACTATGTTGGAAAACAGAGTTTTGTAGCTGAGAATTTACTCAATCAAATAGTGTTATCATACTCTTTGTAGCTGCTGTAGCTTCCATGAAAATAAATAGGAGGCATTCGTTTCGGAGTGACCAAAGTAAATAGGGACATCAATTTCCATTGAAAAACTTACCTTCTCCACCAGAGTCTCGTAACATTGTGTCTGCTACTACCACAATAGGTCGTCTTAAAATGTGGGCCAAGACAAAAACGTGGAACTCTTCTAAGCTCTCATACACTGGATCTTCTGAATTATCAACCCTGGAAGACACAGCATTTAAACTTCAGAAAACCAACCCAGGGCAGCTATTTGCTCTTCCTTGTTACTCATACTCCTACTCTTCTGAAACACACATTCCAGTTACTGAAATAAACCAAGAGAAATTGGAAAGAAAAACATATTTTTGGGCATAAAGTAAGAGCTACAGAAAATGTTTTTACTTGCAGACACCACACAGGCTTATTAGTCATCAAAATTCATTACTGAGATATTGTCTGGTAGCGTAGCTAGAACTGAAAAGGTAAATCTCAGGCAAACTGCTGGTGGACAACTGCTTGCAATCATAAAAACAGTCATTTCACATGACAACATGGGCAGAGAGATTCTGCAATGGAAAGCTGAAAGTTCTTCTAATTCCTCTAACCATAACATAGAAAGTTACCTTAGCAATATAAAAAACAACATCAGCCTGAGTAGGTGGAATTTAACTTGCAAAGTTGAGCAAAGCATTTTCCTCTGATCATTACCGAAACGTTCTTAAGATGGAAAAGAGTATCTGCTGAAATAACCGGAGATTCATTTTGCTATCGGTTTTCCCAGTGAGATAATCTTCACCTTCCTTTAGATTTCCAAAATCAGAATTCTAAGCATTTCATCTTGAATATATATACATAACTTAAACAGATCAGCACATCTGGAGGTAAGATCATCCCTCCCACTTAAACATTTGCCTGAGGATGAGGTGAAAATTTTCATTTCTTTTTTAGAGAATACAGAAGGAATATAAATCAGTACGTACTGGGGTGAGACACAGTGAACTAGTTTTATCAGGGGAGTTTCACGGTTCAGAAAACACATAGAAAAAAATCTATACAAGAATCCTACATGGTGGGGCAACTGAATGTGATAGTTGAACAATAAAACAGCACTACAGAGAAGTTTTTTTTTTTCCTGTAAGTTGGCCTTTTAACAGGATCGATCCAACTACCATCTCCCTAATCTAGCTGGAGTAAGTAGAGTAGACAGGTCATATTTCATTTGCAGATTAAAATATATGGTTTATTCAGGAGCATTCCATGGGTCTAAATAGGATTAACACCCAATCAGCTTCACAGTGAACAAGTACATTAAAATGAGGACAAAAAAATGCTGTTCTTGGAAGGAATTCTTAAAAACTGACATGAAATGTAACTGGAAGCCAATTAGGGCACTTGAAGAGTTTTCTGCCTTTGTTGTTTTTTTTTTTCTCTTTTCAAACTTTTGATACCACTATGTTTATCAGACATCATGGGACAAAATCTATTAAACTCATCTTCTTTACTCATCAGAAGTATGGAAATGCCTTCCAACATCTATTTCTTCCAGATAAGGGTACTGACTGGTAACATTTTACAGTTTGACAATACAATGTTTTGCGTCCAAAATAGTCCCAAATTTTAAAGGTGGACAAAAAGAATAATTACCTTCTAAAAGAATTTGACAAATACAAGTACACACAGGATGGTGCAATTAAAAAAAAAAGAAAAAGAGATTGAGCTATCTCAATCCTATCCATGATGCTTGAGGCAGTTTCTGCTCTAGTCATCATCTGATGTCTGAAAGGCACAAGCAATGAAAGAAAAGAAAGAGAATAACAGATTGTCTACTAGAAAAGATAACTGGATGTGAAAGGAATATCAGACAAGACTCACAGAATATACAGCAAGATTTGTCATATTTTCACTAGAAATTACAAAGCAAATCAGCACCTGTGAAATTCATCTACAGTCTAAACATCTATTCTCAACAGTATCACGAGTCAAAAATACAAATTCAACCACACAGTTGTATTTAAACCACCATGTATACAGAATCATAAAGGCTGGAAAGACCTCAATCATCAAGTCCAGCCATCAACCCATCACCACCACGCCCAAAAAACATGTTCTTAAATGCCACGTCTACACAGTGTGGCACTTGAGTCATGACTGCTCCCCCACTGCGATGGGATGCCCTTGGCCACCAAACCCAAACAAAAGAAAAGACAACCAAGTTGGAGAAACATCTACATCAACGAGGAGATAAACTTCATTACACACTGGACCTCAGCTGGCCAACTACAACAGTGTATTTGAGGAACATCATCCCTCAAATAAGACAAGTTACTAAACAGTGAAACACACTACATATCAAAAACAATCACTGTCTTCATACTGAACCTAACAGGAAGAATTCTATACCATCACCTATGCAGGGGAAAGAGATGAAGTCTTCTCTCACAAGGTTTCAAAGCCTGCAATAAACTTGTTTCAGACCAAATTTACTCCAACAAATAGGGAAGCACAATCATATAATACAATTTATCGACTAATGTCCTTAAATTCCTTAAGCTATTTGTGATCTTATTCATCTGAATAGTCTTATTTTCTCTATCTGTAAGAACTTCAAAAAGCCTTTTTCTTCCATATAGTGAAATGCAATTGCTAGGTTTGTTTTAAACATTCTTTTATGGAAAAGCCTACAAAACTTTTGACAGCAACAAGAGGGAAACAATGTAGAAGAGCATGTGCTAGTGATTGCTTGCTTGGAGTACATCACTGACTGGTAAACGTATTGGGATAATTCGCTCTCCCAAAAAGGTAACACAGATAAAAGCATTTTTTTCCAATATGTACCATAATGGTTTGGATCAGACCCAAAATACTGCATTAACCAAAGGGGATTAAAAGTTATATCTCAAGTTCTGCTTTTGATTTCTTACTCTATAAAATCTCTAAACTTTTTTCTCAGGGACAAACAAGCTTGATAAAGCATTCATTAGTCGTAAGAAACATCAGCTAGTATAAAAGATGCACTATTTGCAATACTGAACCTTTTTCTATTTGCATCTGTTAACTGCTCCATATACTGAAATATATGAAATAGTGAGAAAGGAACAGCACTCCTGTAACAGACAAACATATAAAATAATACTTGTTTTTAGGCATTACCTTTATTAAAAAAAGATCCAAACTAAATCCTCTGCAAGATGAGGGTCTTTGATGGATGCAGCAGTTTGGATACTTTCTTGCATTACTCTGAGTACCTAACCAAGTCTGAAAACCCAAATTACATACAGCTGAGAGATACTACCTTTGGAACATTCTGCTGCTGCTGCAGTAAATAAAATTCTAATGACACATGGAAAGACTACAGAAACCTTTCTTCTCTTCTTACCCATTTAAAATCACCTGACTTTTTTTTAACAAGATGCCAACATCATACAAGACAGCAAGCCAGAAGCTGACATGCATGTCTAAAAATGAGTATCATCCACTTTCAAAGTAAGTATGTTTCAAAATACATTTTGCTTCACAGAAATGAAACAATTATAATAATCTATTTTTAAAAAATAACATTTACATGTGCAAATCCACTTCAAAATCAGACTTTGCTTCACAGTTGATTTGCTTGAAGGATTTTACATGCTGGGAACAAAAAGGTAGGAGCAAGGTTTTTCAGTGTTCCCTTCATCTATTTCTCCAAATTCAATTCAAAGAACATATTCTCAGAACAGAAATCTGTGAAAGTTTAGTGACAGTTGCTGGACACCTTTACACGTACTTCAATCTCAGAAATTTATTAAAATTTGTAGGTGAACGAAGCAGCATAATTCCTAAGCTTGTCACTGAATTCTTTTGAAGCACATACAACTTCTGATGCTTTTGCTAATCCTGACACCAAAGGAGAACGCTTCATCTATAATTCAAAGACTAATCTGCAAGCTCTCTTAATATAGTACCTAAAGTAGAGAATGTAATAAACTCCATCTCAAAAACACTGTTTTGATGTTCCTTTTTCTTTGCAGAGTCTCTGTTATTTTGAACACTGGATGCATTGCATGATTCTTTTAAAGGAAAAATGAACTGCTCCGTATTTATCCTTACTTCTTTCCAATTTGAAAAAGAAATGTGAACCATGGAAAAACAATTTAAATTTGTTCTCTATACAACAGTGTGTGGTATTGCCTTTTGAACTGTCTGGGAAATAAAGGTAAAGTCTGCCAAATGCAACATTTCATGACATCTCTGATTGGAATATAGTGAAACTATAAACTACATGAAGTTTGCAGAATTAAAGACAGAAGCTGGGAAAACTAGTGGTAAATGGCCAAGTTTAAGAGAAATGTGAATTGAACTGCATTAGAAGACTAAAGCATATAAACAGAAAAATATCTACAAACATGGAAAACAAACTGAGAAGTAAAATGAAAACCAATCAATTTAAAAAAAAATTAAAACAGAAGAAACTGAAAACCATTATGGCTGATAATTTGATCATCATCTTCCTTCTGCATTAGATTTCCCTATCCCTGGTATCACAAATTTAAAAGGAAAATGCAATATAATTTCAAATACAGTTTGAATTGTACATACAGAATATATTGTACGTAAAAAATATTTTTTTGAACATTTTATTTCTTCATTATGTTTTATGCTTTGCCAACTTACTTTTCACATACAGTTTTCTTCAGGGGAGTCAGTAGCTAGAGGAAAAAACGAACTGAGTACACAAGCCTAAATATTCTTCATTACAAAAACTAGACAGAAAAACGAAAGCTCTTGCATTAAGGCTGGTTGATAGTCTTATGCTTTGGAACAAAAGCACTGCAAGATACTCATACTCTGCACTCACCCACCACCAGTGCCTCCATTTTTGCTGAAATGCGTGCGAGGCTCACTTGATGCCAGCTTAAGCAGTTCATTCCACTCCCGCTCCCATTCTTCTTCTGTATACACTAAACCTGACTATGGGAGAGAATGAAACACATTTGTAGTTATGCTGGTAAAAAAATTTGAGCAGCGCTCTGTAGCAGTATATGCAATTAGCTTTTGAGCTTCTTACATGATACATTAATAGTTCAACATTCTTATTCAGATGAAAAGAATATTAATTTACTAGGAAGATCTAAGACACTAACTGTAAGAACTAACCGCGCATAGTTATGCCCACAAAGCTACGAATACATTTCATTCTGAGGTTCAAATTCTGAATACAAATCTCTCTCCCCAGTGCAGAATGGAAAAAGAAGGAATCTGATAGCAAATGAAACTTTCACAAAGTTCAGAATTGTTCTTTTTATGCTGACAAGGTTGCCTTTAGACCATACAGACCTCCTTATTCTGCTGGGTCTGTTGCCATCTCCACCTTCTTTTCAGTGCTTCCCTTTCAGCTCCACTTCTCATCATAGTGTAGAGTGCTTTCCGTAGAACAAGATCCCGGTCATGAAATCCCCACATTCCTACAGTATCACAAGAAGGCACTCAATTGTAAAGAAACTACATTAAAACAGATATAACAAGTACTAATATAATTAATATTGTCCTATGAGCAAAAGCAACATAGCTTATACATTATTTAAGACTTTTCTTCGCAAGAAATCTACTCATTATTTCTAATGTTTCCTTCCAAAAGGGTCAAAATACAGATAAAGCAGTGAACAATAAAAGGGAATTTTAACAAAGCTTAAACTTGGCCAAAAGAACAACAAGGATGTGAGCTGTTTCAGTATGTGCTTGCAGGTAACAAACTGTGCTGCAAACAATGGAATATTCAGCACACAGATTACTTCTAGTTACCAGTTCCAGCTGCCAGCAGAGCTTGCAGACACAAGGATACTAATGACAACCACAGGCTCTTCTGTGCATCACAGATGATGATTCTGACGCCCACAGGCGTCCACTCTTACACAGCATGATGTCCAATTTCTTTTGGCTTCAACATCCAAACAAAAAGCATTCAAGATGATTGGAAATATAAAAATACAACCAGCCACAGGCTTGCAAGCTCCTTTTAAGACAGTTCACAGATCTTTGGAGAGTCAAGCAGTAACCATGACAAAAGAACAGAACACTCACTGAGACACATGCCCACAGACATCTAAGTTTCAGTTATATTATCAGCTGCTGGCATTAAATATGTATATTTCAAATTTTGCAAGTCAAAATACTTCCAGCATTTTTTGTAAATAATACACAATTCCTCTAAGCAAAAAATAGAGTAGGCAAAGATAAAAAGGATCCTTGGAAAAACTAATATATATATGTATCTTTTTACTATTATTTTCAAAAAGAACAGTCCCTTCAAAATGATTAAAAATCCTAATGTTTTTCACAAAATTGCTTTTGGAGGTCTGCTGGTACAAGATCTTAGCGATGGGAACAACAGAAGAACCTTCCTCATGATAGTTATGATACGGAGCAAACATCAAAGACTTTTGGATTCACAGGTTTCTATTTATTTGATATAATTTGAAAAAAGGCTTCACAGATCTTGTATTAATGATTAATTAACTGGAAACTACTTTTCATAGAATCATGGAATGCTTTGAATTGGAAGGGATCTTTAAAGGTCACCCAGTCCAACTCCCCTGCAGTGAACAGTGTCATCTGCAGCTAGATCAAGTGCTCAGAGCCCCATGCAGCCTGACCCTGAATGTCACCAGGGACGAGGCATACCTCATCTCTCTGGGCAACCTGTGCCAGTATGTCATAACCCATACAGTGAAAAACTTCTTGCTCGGACTCAGTCTGAATCTTCTCTCTTTCAGTTTGAAACCATTTCTATTTGTCCTGTGACAACAGATACCACAAAAGAGTCTGTTCCCTCTCCTTCTCACAGCCCCCCTTCAGGCATTGAAATGCCATTCTCAGCTCTCCCCGAAGCTTTCCCTTCTCAAGGCTGAGTAGCCACAATTTGTCCAATTTTTAATTCACTCCAAAGTCTGTTTTCCATATAGTTGAAATCTTGAAGGAATGAGTAGAACTGTTTAACACAAGCCAGAGGACAACAGATGCAACTCCTTGCCCACAGTGAGGACAATTCCCCATACGTAAGGAAAATGCACACTGCTGTTTATGGAAAGGGTTTTTTGATATTGTTCCAATTATACTTGTGATATCACCTCACAAAATTTACACCTTCATCCCTCAAGAATGCCTACAACAATCAATTCTTTAAGTGAAGTTTGAAGAATGTATTGCTCCAGAACCAGACTTTTAATGGAATTCTTTGCATTCCATTTGTTTCTGAACTTTCACTAGGCACAGAGCAAACTCGTAAATATTTCTGGCAGAAGACTCCATGCACACATTCTTCCTTACCTAAAGAGGCAGCATGCAGGAGGCAGTTTCCATCACCTGTTGTGGCCAAGGGAAGAAGACGTTTGCAGCTTGTACACACTGTGGACCACCAGTTCAAACGACCTGAAAAGAAAGCATCCATTAAAATGACATAATGGGTACTAAAGGAAGGTGAGTACTGTGTAGAGTCACACAGTGATGATAAGTAATGTTGAAGGCTATTTGAAACCGTCAGATTTAAATTAGAAAAAGAACCAACAATGTTACAATAATACCTTAAAAGGCAGTTTGCTGACATGTGCTTAGTTTCCTTAAGGAAAGAAGGCTAAAAAGAGCCTTTCTTTCACTTCTCCAGTAGACTGTACTTCCAGAAAACTGCCCATCTATAAAACTACTCACATACACTGATGTTCTTGAAATGTAATACTGAGCTGTGCATGTAGAAATAACTGTAGAAGTAAAACTGACCAAGTAAATGTTTCTTTTTGGGCTGATGCACCAGCAATACTGAGGTTACCAACCAGAATGCAAATCCAAAGTCATAAACTGAGATGGCACAGAAGTGTACAACTACGTATAACTGGCTACACATACCCAGCAGAGAGCTCCTGCTCAGTTTACCAGCTTATTTCATAATCAGAGATGTGTTTTTCCACAACATTACTGCATTCCATTTTAGTGTGAGAAAATACTTGCTGTTCATACTAGAACCGAATTACATAAACATGTATTCCAGAGAGGAAATGTATTCCAGAAAAGAGGAAATGAGTATCATTTTCTTGTAATTCTGATGGTTGTGACTCCAGCACCTGACATATACTTGAAAGTCTGTTAAAAAATCTTAGCTAGGAAAACGCTCCTATTGCCTCAAATGCATTTATTTACATTTCTTTTAAAATCAAAGCTTAATTTTTAACAGTCTGAAATCAAACGTTTTCATAACTTAAGGGATTTGTTTTCAGGAGTGTGAAACACAGGCAAAATATGCAGCTGCATTATATGCTTCATAAAAATTAGTTTTCAGGTTCAGGTTTAGTTGTTATACTGAGTTATGTTTAAGGAAAGCAATAAAAAAACCCCACTGTGTTTAGCGTGTTTAGAGCACTTTTTGTAGCTGTTCTGCTGCCCACGTGATGTATTTGAGAGCCCATCAGCACAGCAGTTTGGGTGCTGCCAGTACCTCCCCTGCAGCCAAGCAGCTTCTCTGTCAGGCTACACCTTAACTGAACACAGCAGAAGTATGGTAACAGAAATCAACCTGCTGCAGTAAAATGCTTAGAATTATGTAATTCCTTTCACCCAGATCTCATTTAAGATTATCACAACCTGAGCCATCCTCCCTTGCAGAACTACACTGATTGCTGCAAGAGCCCTCAGTCTGCACATACCCTGCACACTGACCTCATTCCAGGCAATAATGAGCAGCTGGGGTTACGAGATGCACGAAAGCCTCAGATGCTTTTTTGAGTATATAAATTGTACACATTGATGAACTCTAAATGTCTAGGAGAAATTCAGAAGGCAATCACACAAATAGTAACAGACACACTGCAGTAGCAGAGAGAGACCAAGGAATGCTGTCTTAATCTGAGTCTTCTGTTTATGATCTGACAGCATTTTTGAGTGAAACAGGAGTTTCTCTACAGGTAGGAAGCAACCTGAACATCCTTTCACATAAAGATATAATGGTAGCAAGTGCTTAAGTATGTAGAAACAGAATTTAAATCCTTTTAAAGACATCCATCTCGTTTGGGGATGTCAAACAAAATGTGCTACAGGCTTTTTTTTTTTTTTTTTTTAGCATTTTTGCACCCCCAATATATGGTGTTTTGTTTTGTTTTTTTAGCAGTAATCTGCTGCTCCTTCTCTTGCCTAATCAGCTTTTTTTTTTTTTTCCTCCTCCTATTGAAATTTATGCCCTTAAACCAGAACTCAAGTACACACATCTCTCCTCCCTTAACAGTATCTCAGCTACTGAAATGACAGTCTTCCTCTTTTTCTTATTAAAATAAGACCACAGTCGTTTGCAGGGAATACATCTTATCCACCAATGTTTTGATGTCAGTGACCAAAGTGCAGTCAAACTGGGCCCTCTGTTGGTCAGAGACAATAAAACGTGTGATGCTAAGTGACACCTATTAATTCCTGCTTCTCATTTCAGACAACACGTGTACGATGGCAGGCAATACAGGGAAACTGAGCATTTGTGGTCAGACAATAGGTCACTTTATATGACAACACTTGACATGAAAACACAGGTGTGCTTTGTTTTTTGTTTTGAGGGTTTTTTTTTTTTTTTTGTTTAAATTAAGTATCTGCTGTTTGATCTGTTAAACTCATTTCAACTGAAGAATTCTTTCTCCAGAAAGTTTTAGGGTCATGACAGCCTCCTCTTCAGATGCCAGGGGCTCCAGGCACAAAGAAACCTTCACAAAGCAAGCAGTAATGGGGGGACCAGCAGTCTTCACTAAGAGAAGTGCCAGGAACAAAACAGTTACTGGTTGTTTCCACTGCCGTAATATTTTATTAAAAAGCAAATTAGCTTTCCTAGTGTGAGTCAAGGTATTGCCCTGATTCAAATAACATGAAGAAACGAATAAATGATTAATTCTAACTGTCAGAGAGGTCTGAGAGGAATACTCAGAAGCAGGAAATTCTAAGCAGGTTTCCATGGTATAATCCTGTAAGCATGTCTTTTTGCCACTTGCAATGATTTTGGACACACGTGAATGAGAGATAGGACTGCTGCTCTCTACCTCCTTACTCATCTTTTCTGCATTAAATGACTGAGCTGCTTACGAAGCAAATCCTGGACTGCATTTTAGAGTCTAAGGTTTTGAGGCAAACCAGCACTGACTGCTGGCTCCAGACCAGCACCCTAACTCTACGTTTTCTATCTCCTTTTGTTCTGTATTAGTAAAGCCCGTTCTTCCATTTCCTAGCATGCAAGCTACATCCACACTGGTATCTCAGTCCCACCACACCCTTCCATATGAGATTTATTTTTTGGACCAATACATCTGTCCCTGTATCTTCCACTCCCTGAAGTACACCATGCACATCCACTCTCTGATCTGTGGTCTCTGCAAGTTTCACTCTTCCAGGCTTAGGCTTATTTAGACACACAACCTTTAAGTCAATATCTCAGTACACTGAGTCCATACAGATGGGTTCATTTCATGGTTCATTAATAAACTTTCTGTTTCATCAGGTAAAGATAATAATTTCAAATATGTTTCTCCATATCTATCCAAATTAAAACTTTAACTTAAAATGTTAAACTACTAATAAATATGAATTAATATAAAAAATAACTTTTCATGTTAGTAATGAACTATTACATTCACAATCTTCAGTTTCTTATTACAAAAACAATAATCAGTGTACAAGTTGCATATTTAAAAGATATTCTCAAGCTGCAACAGATCTTGAAGAGGTTTCCTTTGTTAGTTTGCAATTGTTAACTGCAATGACACTTCCTCACAAGCATTAGAAGCACCAACATGACTCCTCCATCAGTCTTCCATTCCTTCCTTCTGCATTATCTTTGAATTATTAAACAAATTTGACAATATATAAAGTTTTAAGAGAGGATGAGGGCATGCATCATTCTGCAAAGCACAGTATTTCCTCCGGCATTTTTTTTTTTCCTGTGCAAGACACCCAAATTCCAAAAATGAAGCATCATTAAAAACAGCAAAATATCAGATAACCCAACCACTGCCATGTGAAGTCCATACCCACCTGCTTGCTCCAAAGCAACCATTGTTGCCTGCTCAATTAAGTCACGTTCAATGAAGCTTCTGAAATCTTCGCTGTACACACTAAGGTCTGGCAGCTGGAATGTGTAGATGGGCATCTCCAAAGGAAATTGTTCATTGCTGCATTCATTTGCTACATGTGATCGAGCAAGAGAGACTATGGCTGAGCTGGCATGAGAAATGCCTCTGGAAAGCCGCTTTTCTGTAGAGAAGCCAAAGAGATTATAGACTGTAAGAATACATTGAAAAGCATTCAACATCGACAGTCTGGTTAATGTCTTTTCACTTTGGAATGTATTCTGCTTCTTTAATATTTTTGGGGGTTTATTTCTCCATACTGAATGATTGCTTAGTTCTCATTATGGATTCCCTATGGCAAATTATAGATGAACTGCACTCTCCTTCTTTCAAAACAGATTAATAGTAAAGAAATGGCATGAAAGAAAAGCATTTTATTTTCAAGAAGTTCAAAAGTTATTCTTATGTTTCTAGAGATGCATTACAAGAAACAATTACTGGTGGACTTACAATGATCAATTATTGCTTTGAACTCTTAAATTAGGTTGACTTGTGAATCAAAAGATACAGCATTCTGCAATCACTCCATATCAAATGCCATACTGTTTAATTTCAGAGCAATCCACCTGGACACAATTTTATCATCACTGTGATGAAAGTCAGACAAACTCAGTTTTTAGGCATGAGCATTTTTTAAAATCCTGATCCAAGGATCAATCCACAGTTCAAAACAAGCAATGACATTAGCAAGTCTGGTATAGAAGTATGTATTGTTTTAACTAAAATCATAGATTTCACTTCTCTGTTGACAAATGCCGTAAACAAAACAGTCAATAATGGACTGATAAAGCAAAATAAGCATTAGAATCTTAAGAACAGAACAAATTACTACCATGTCATTTTACTTTTCTGTACATGTCCTCAGTATCAGCAAACAGGTAAGAGAAAAATTAATCACTAATACCCTGCAAGTGTTAAAAACCACAAATCGTTCAGTTCAAACTGATATATTTTTGAACTTAGAATACGGGAAAGTCACAAAAATTGAGAAAAACTGTGCGTACCAGGAGTTCAGTAATACCAAAAGGGTTAGATCTGTTGATGTTGATAAAATGTTACAGGTAACAATTTTAAAGGGAACTGAAATAGTTATATCTCTGAAAGCAACTTCATTTTTTAAACAAAGACCAACTGTAATACGCCTCTTGTTTTCGTCTGACATAACTGAAACTGCCTACATCCGTTTCAGAGCTTCAGTAAGCAATAGCTCTCTGATCGTGGTCAGGAAGGATTTCAGCTACCCATGCAACATAACTTTTAGCCAGACTTATACCACAGAACCCACTGCAGAGACAAAACCATCAGACAGACGTTTCAGTGTAAACTTGGTAGTATACTAATACGGATTTTTACAGTGAGTTGGATCCTAATAAGGATGAAAGCAACAGTTCTACCAACTACAGTGTGCTACTCTTCCTCCCTTTATCTGTATTTCATGCTCTCAGGAGTCATAAGAAGCAATGCAGTTCCTTTTCTACTGGTGGAAGTTATCCATTTAAAATACAGCTTCACTGATACTTGTGAGCAATGATGATGTTTCCCGTCTGATAGAAGGGATGAGCTGGCAGGAAAAGGGAAGGCTTTCTGTTCCAACTGCACAGAAAGCTCTGCTGAAATCACCACGCTACTGCTGTTACTTTCCTACCTGAGAAGCTGTCAGAGCTGTAGATTAACCATAGTGCTAACTACAGTTCCTTGATAATTAACATGAAAAAGAAATGCATTTCAACAATCCAAGCAAGAGAGTGAAAACTTGAAACAGAATTGCATGCAAAAGAAGTAAATCCTAATGCTTGTGATGCTGTACTGCAAATCTGCTGCCTGAGGTACATGACTCATTTTAGTTCTGAAGGTTTCAATTTCTATTTTGTGGGACTTGAGAAGGGATGTTCTTTCTTCAGGGGAGCCATAAGGGATCAAAAATTAAAAGCTGAAATTTATTCATAGATTTCATACATCCTAATCAAATACTACGAAAAAGAATGCAAAGGCAGAAATATGGATTATTTATTAAAAAACGGCTTTTTTGTGTCTCATGTAGTATAAAAGTACTACATGAAGCACTACATACAGTAGTGGTCTCTGACACCCTCTAATTCCCTTTTGTACCATAGGACTGCCTAGCAATAGTGTATTTCTGTACTTGAATTGCTCATTAAAAACAAACAAACTTGTAGAGCTGAGGCAAAGCCTGTGACAGCTGAAAAATGCAATGCATAGCATCTCTGCAAAGCCTGTCACAGTGACGTGGATTACAGGCTGGCTGCCAGTGATTTCAGCCTCCCTGCAGACACACAAAACTCACAAGCAGACCATCTAGAAAGCTGCTCCCCAGAAGCCCCAGAGAAGAGCTCTTACCTTGAGCGATGTCATCCTGCCGCTGCAGGCAGGGCCGCTCGGCCTTTGTCACCTGAGGAGGCTGCTCGGGCTCGGGCTGCTTGCAGTACTTGCCCTCGTTGAACACCTGCGGCAGGTTGGCGGTGTGCACCTGCCGGAGCTGCTCATAGTCACTTAAAGCTGCTGTCAAGTCCCAGTTTTTGCCTGCCAAACAAAAAAAAAAAAAAAAAGGACATCTGCTCAGGACAGTCTGAGAGCAGACTGGGGGCCTGGAAACCATCCCCTGTGCATTTAGAACAAACTTAAACAGAGAAATCATTCTCACTTAGAGCATCAGCTTTTGGAAAAAACATTTACAACTGCTCCTTCCTGAACAAAAATGCACAGTTGATAAACACCTTGAAAGTGCACAGCAAACAGACATGGATAAAACTCTTTTCTCTCTTGTGTGTGCTCTTGGTTTGTTTTCTATTATTTGTATCTGTAGAACACACGGCCTTCTGCACCCATCCACTGCTGCACACTTGCTTGAATTTATTGCAATGTTTCAGCATTCCCCTTTTCAGGAGGTGAAATGTCCTCATGCTGCTCTCCAGTACACCAACCACAGTAAGACACACTGTCCCTCAGTTGGGTTCCACCACCTCACATTGTCCCTCTCTAGCCAACAGGAGAAGAGACCTCTCAGTGGAAGAGACCTCAACATGAGTAATCCTCGCTCGCTCAGAGTTGAGCACGTGCTTTGTCAGATCACGTCTCACACTCCTTAACAACAAAACTCAGGCACACCTTAGGCAGCCCACACTGGCTGTACTGTTACTAGATTCTGTATTTTTCAGGCTGATAACACTCATAACACTTATGCAGCAAGACCTGAGCAACATGCTGTTTATTTAGGATTTAGTGGTTTTTTTAACGTCTCTGTTTTTGCTAAAACAGCATAGATTAGCAGCACTGCAACAGTTAACAAATTCATCTTCTTTCAATTGTTAACAATAGACATCATACAATTAGGGGACATTCATCATTAATCAGCAGGAATAGCAAGCATGCAATTACAAAGCCACACTCACAACCTTCACAAATCCACCTACTCCAATATGTTAAAAAGAACATTTAAAAGGTCACCAGCAATTCCTGATCTAGTGATAAACAGCATGCCAGAAAGGATGCAACCTTAGACAGAGAACTAAGAGAGCTCTAAGTAGTGAGGACCACAGCAAAGGTCAGTGTGCAACAATACACATATACAGTACTTCAGCAAAGGGTATTTTAAGAAGGACAGGAACTGCAGCTTGAAGTTGAACAGGACCAAAAACATGGAGGGAAAAAAAATGATGCAAAAGGGGAAGAGAGAGGTTAGAGAGGACAACGATGCTGAACAGGAAACTAAGTTAAGAGGAAGAGAGGACATAATTATTCAAAATGACAAATACAATGGGAAAATAAGTATTTTGGCAAAATGACAGTGTAACTAAAACGAACACATCTTTCAGAATTTTTAACTATTCTAATAGAAGGCAATATTCGCCCAGCTACTTTACTTTCAATGTCATTTTTTCATTCTTAATGAAAATAGCATGTAAATGCAATACCTTTCCGAAAACAAAGACAACTGAAGAAGCAGTGTAACAGTATAAATCTGAATGCTTTTGCCAGCATGTCTTACATATTTTACTATCACTGCATGTACATTTTACAAGTCACAGAAAACAAATCACAATCAAGTGTTGCTAAAGATAATGCAAAGCTTCGGCGGAACTAAACCTACATCAAAAATTCAAAAAAACTGAAAAATAATTATAATAATTAAAAAGCCAACCAAATAAACAAAGTCTCCCTGTCTGCAGGACAGAAGTCTTGCTGGCAAACAAATCCTACATTTTCACTCCTTCAAAAACTAGTGTAGAGTCATTGCCTTGTGACTCAAATATTCCATACTGCCGTATACAAAGGTGTTCTTAGAATAGCAGCTGTGCCACAAATACGAAGTAGCAGCTGTTAGGTGGAAGGAACATCTCCTCATTTAGCCCATTACACTGACCCTGCATTTTACACAAGACTGCACAGTGGCTCGGTAACAAAGCAGTTAAACAGCAACAGTGTTTTCAGCAAGAATGATCAGTTCAGGCAGCCCTTTCCCTGTGGGGATGAAATCTACCTGCAAGGACGTACAGCCGCAGAAATTTACGAAGCACCAGACACAAATCTGGTATTTGGCAGGGTATATAACTTATTTCTAAAAACAAAGTCCAGGACTCTTACTCCATCTATGCTCTGTGCCATCTTTCAGCTTAGATTTTGAGCCATTATGCACAGCAGAAAGTAAAACAGCTTTGATCTCTACACTACTGCCTTCCTTCCAAGAAGGCAGAAAAGAGTTCTTAGCTGAAAATGTTGGCTGCAAGGCTGAGAGGAAAAATGAGAAAGTCCTACCATCAGGTGCTCCTTATAAACAAAGACATAGCCCAAGATCAATCAATTTAAAGCTCTTATAGAATCATATCTGTTCCTGGAGTTACATCAATATCCCATTTCACAAGAGAACGCAGTAAGGCCTGAAGCCCGTGAACCGACTGAGCTCCCTAAAACTGAGGAAACCCTTTAAAATTCTTCTTCTTCCTATCAGCCTAAATTAGTTATGTCCAGATTTGATGTTAATTTATGTGTTCCTGATGAATAAGGGAAGTGGAAAGCGTTCACCTTTGGCACAATGGAAATTAAAAGCTGAATGTGGCTGGTGCATTTTGTGACAGACCGGACTCCTCCTGGAACACATGTAGGCCTCCGTGTTTTGTGTGATGCTGCTGGCTGACAGGCTCATAATAGCCAATAATTATATGAGATCATCATAATTATATAAGATCATCAATCTCATTTAGAGATTTAGGACCAGAAGTGAAGATTATTAACAAACAACACTGTTCAATCGTTCCAGCATCTTGATGAAAGCTACTCAGGAGCCCTTATGTACGTGCTTCAGCTGAACCATGACAACCTCAACTCTTTAATGGAACATGTCTAGCTTTATGTGCTGGTGAAGTTACAAGAACTATTCTGAACTCAGCAAGTACTGGCCTTTTATCCTCACTATTTCATAGACTTTTTTTCACAGGACTCTCTCCAAATGTTTAGAATTTGGACTGCAGGTACAATTCAGAATTATAAGCTATGTAAAAACAAATACGATGAGAAAAAGCTAAGGAACACCCCTTCCAACTGCAAAAACTCTTTCACCTCTTCAGTTACTTCTCTTCCACTGGATACCATCTCCTCTTTTTATTAAAACTAAGAGATAAAAGATGACTAATACAGAAAGGCATCTGGAGAAATAGAAAACAGCCTCTGATTTTCCAGACAATTAACAGATTCTTAGTTCTTATCAACATAGAGTGACCAGTGAACAATTAACAGAACAGATTAATTAAAAAAAAAAAACAAAACACCTTCCCTCAATCAGATAATCATTTAAGATAGAAAGTTTACCATCATCTTCTTTTCCACCTGAGGATGTCCATTCTGCTAATAGAACAACGCACAAGTTGACTTTAAATGAAATCAACTTCCTATTTGGCACAATGCAGATTAACATGGATAATGACAGGAAAGGAAAGGAATTCTAGATCAGCTTCACTCTTTCTGAAAAACTTGGGTGTAAAACCAGTCTAGTATTACACCACATGTTTTAAAATGAGTTTAATTTTTGTTCAAACTCTCAAATAATAGCATAGCAAGGACACAATTTTTTCCCATTTCCTGTTTGATTGCAAAGTCACTCAAGATGAACAGACAGCTGGAAATGACAATTTTGATCTCTGTGGAATAAGACATTGATAGCTACTCAGTTTCTTCTTCCTTTGCCAAGTCTTCCACAAGAGAACTATAAAAGGAACTGCCTGAGGGAAAGAATAAGAAGCTATTTTGGGAGAGATGGTTTTGTACAATCATATGACAACACTGTAGATTTCCCCACCAATTATGTTGTGGTGGGTTTTTTTGTTGTTGTTTTTGTTATTGTTGTTTTTTCTTTTAATTCTGCTGTTCTCAGAAGGAAATATCTTTCTACTGCCTCTCTTAACCTCCATGGGTCAGTCTCCTTGAACACACATTCCATGACTCAGCCAATCTCCTGATTCTTATTAATGCTGAACTACACACACCTCAATTAAGTTCCACACAAAGCTGGAAATAGATATCAATTGTTTCTATGTAATGGTTAAATATGACACAAATAAACAGTCAAGCAGAAAAAGCAAAGCAAAGATACTGTTGTTTATGCAAATAAGGGCTGAACACAGTCATATAAATGAACAAAACCACTTACATAAGTACATACAGGTTCTCACTTAAATATATATTATTGTTGCAGTTTAATTTCTTTCTTCTTTCCGTTATTATTACATGCACTGAATTTCACAGATCTCCTTCACCTGATGTTTGGCAGGTCATCAAACTGGCATTTCAATACATCTCATCCTGTCTAATCCCTTATCCTCCTTACTAATCACGTGATCACTGCCTGCATACCTCCTGCTGTCTGAAAACTAACCTGCTACCTGATCTCTTAGCAACCTCTATGCTTACCCATGCCTATACAGAAAGTCTGTGACTACAGAAGGACATCATTAGAGCTTTAGACCAGACAGCCATAACAATGCTTTAACTTACTCTTCTTTTCATAAAGGCAAGTGCGTGCTCCTGGTTAGCTATTAAAATCAATATTGAACACAATTATTCTCAAAACAAAGCTACTGCTACCGTTTAAATAGAATCAGTTTTACCGCTGTAAAAGTGTATGAAGAGCGTATTTTGAATGAGATTTAAAGCTCATTATATATTTTCAGCAATTAAACACTAACCACTGAAAAATACAATGGAGGAAAGGAAAGTCTGTACCAAAACCAGACACCTGAAATAGTGGTACTGACCTGTAGGAAGCAGCAACAGATCTTCCAAGTAAGGAAGACTGAGTAGAAACATGTAACTCACAGATGCCACAACATTACACATTAGGAGGATTCAACAGAATACAATGCTTTTCTGGTTTTCTAATTTTCAAAAATAAGGCTAATATAATGAAAATACAATTGGTTTTATGTTTCAATTTAATGAAGGAACTCTTTTATAGTAATATAGAACAAACTGTCCCTGTCTATTCCAAACTGGGTCAAATTTAAATAGTATTTGCTTGTCCTTCAGCCATCCAGTTTTGTTAATTAGTAATATCCTCATGAAAGACAGGATAGTAATACCAGCAAGCTTAAATTTAAAATTAGAAAAAATACATTTTGGAAGAAGACACAATGGAAAAGAACTGGCAAAAGAAACGACAATACGGACTTGGTCCCCAAGATGCCTTGAGGGATTTGAATGCTATTTTATGAAGTGATTTTAAACTTAAAAAAGATGTAAATGTTCACTCTGTGCTTTAGTGTACAGTCAGTCCAAAAGAAAGCCTCTGTCTCAAGGAATTTTGTGAAAGGCTGTCCGCATGACATTTACAGTACTGGAAAAGCTATTGCTTTCAGATAAGTTCACTGAATAAACTTTTGTGTGTTTGCATTCCGCATACACACGCGTGTTCGAGGTCTTCATAATCACACAAGAGCAAAGAACTCAGGTCTGTATGAGATATTTTTGATATGAAATGATCTGCTTCGAGCACAACCGATTCCTAAACCATCACAATGTATAGCATCAGATCCAGTGTCCAGGTTTCCAGAGTCAAATGCTGCTCAGAAAGCCAAGCAACTGCCACAGCCATTCTACCTACTCTGTAATTTGCTGACAGATGTTGCGCTCACACTCTCCTCAACCTGTGGGGGTTTTTTTTGTTTGTTTGTTTTGTTTTTTTACTATCTGGTACAGGCAGTAAATAGTTTCTGGTGTCCCTTACTTCCACAGGGACATATTCCTTATTCTTTGCTCGCCTCCTAATTATTAAGCATCAGGATTATATGATGCCTTGGAGATGCCATGATTCTGAAGACACCTATTTGATGTTCAGGCTCTCAGAAGTTAATTCTCATCGGATGTTTACTTCAAAGTCTCTGCAAGACCAGAGAAGGTGTAAAGTGCTGTCAACCAAGAAGCCTCCCTGGAGGCTTGACCAACAAGAAGGAGCATTGGAAAGTCTTGTAGTCATGACCAAGCTAACAGAAATGTGCTTCCCATTTTAATAATTCACCCATAATAGCAACTATGAATTTTAGTACTGTAAGTAAAAAGCTGTTCTCTTAATTAAAAAGAATGATAAAAATAGCCTAAGTGGTCCACAGCAGCATTCAGGCAACAAATGCCAGAAGTGCTGAGGAAGAAAAAGCCCTTTAACAAAAAACATATAGAAAGGTACCAAGAGGAACAAAGCAATCAAAAACAAGCATGAATTGTTCTATGCATTAGACACTGCCAGCAACTATTACGTTCGACAAGTACTGCAGTTCCTGATGGAATACAGGTTCTGATGTGGACACAGATCACCTGCAGAATTCAACCCAGAAATAGCTCACTCAGCAACTGCTCAGGTATGATGGCACACAGTGAGCAGAAAAAAATATTGATACTGCTACAAAGAAGGGGAGAATTAAGGGAGGAATTAAGAAGTCCCCCACCAATCCTCATCTTAAAGACAAAACAGGATTAATCAAAACTCTGTGGGTCAATGACATAAAGGTGTATGCTACCCAGGTACTGAAAACAGATATTTTCCCAGAGCCATGCTGGAAAATAATCTTGTTTTTTCAATTCTAATATACAGTCAAATGAAAAACAAAAAATCAGAGAATTGCTCATGACACATGGCTCTATGACCTATCAGACTGTAATCTCAAGTTTTAAAAGCTTTCTTCAGAAGGAAAGCTGTGCTGCTTACAAATCTACCAATGTATGAGAATAAACTGTAATGGAACAAAGGATCTTTAAAACGTCCAAAAACTCAAGAAACCCTAAAAAGCAAGACAGATGACATATTATAGTGTACCTGCATGTGTTGTTAAGTGTTAAGCCCCTTCCGCCCCCACATCTTTCCTTGACTATTCTTTAAGTCTGTACATTTTTAAGTTCCCACAGCTTTACCACGTGAATACAAAACAGCAAGCAGCCCAGAACTGGCCGTTCAGACTAAGTAAGTAGAAATGAAACATTATTCATTGGAAAAATATCAACTAAGCAATTATTATTGCAATTTTAACCACCAATGAATAGCTGATTAGACAGCTGTGGGACTTTCACAAATGTATTTAAAAGACACTGTAGTACCATGAAATTGATTTTAATTTCTTATGTAGAACTAAGAAAACCAAAGCCAATTTTTTACTTTTGATGCAGCTTTTAAAGTCTGCATTTACATCTATTTTCAGATGTGCATAGCAAAATTCTCAAAGAACTGAACAAATGCTTTTGAGTCTGTGAAATGTGAGCTCCTTATCAGTTAAACAACTACACAGAATATTAGAATTTGTTATCTTGAAATGTCAGAGCAAGCATGTATTGACCACAAACTCCTTGTACTATACTAAAGCATAGCCAAAGATACAAGCAACAGTATAAATAATGTGACTGCCAAAAGGCAAACTTTGTTCTGTATGTAACACTAGAAAGGTATATACTCACATAACCAAAGGAATTCTTCATACATTCTTTTGAATGATAGAGAAAATACAAAATCGAGGCTTCCAGCTCTGCATGTTTCACTTGCCAAAAACTTAACAGAAACTGATCATACTACTTTTTATTCCGTGATACTAATAGCTGTCAAGAAGAGCCAAACATACACAAGCTAGAATCAATTCAGGATTTTTTATTTTTATGTTTAAAAAACAAACAAACTGAAGGAACTAGTCACGTCACCAGTAGTGGGTCCAATCCTGCTCAACTTCAGCGACCTGGATGAAGGGATAAAGTCCACCCTCAGCAAGTTTGCTGATGATACTAAGCTGGGAGGAGTGGCTGACACACCAGAAGGTTGTGCTACCATTCAACAAGACCTGGGACAGACTGGAGGGCTGGGCAGGGAAAAACCAGATGAGGTTTAAGAAAACCAAGTGTAGAGTCTTGCACTTGGGGGTGCATGTATCAGTACAGGTTAGGGAATGACCTGCTGAAGAGGAGTTCTGTGGAAAAGGACCTGGATGTTCTGGTGGACGACAACAGGTTGGCCATGAACCAGCTGTGTGCCCTGGTGACCAAGAAGGCCAATGGGATTCTGGGGTGCATTAAAAAGAGCGCGGTCAGCAGGTCAAGGGAGGTGATCCTCCCCTTCTACTATGCCTGATGAGGACACGTTTAGAATACTGTGTCCAGTTCAGGGCTCTCCAAAAAGACAGAAATCTCCTAGGAGGAGTCCAGCAGAGGGCCCTTTATCATCTCCCATATGAGGAAAAGCTGAGTAACCTGGGTCTGTTCAGCCTGAGGAAAAGAAGGCTGAGGGAGGGAGATCTGATTAATGTTCGTAAATATCTGAAGAGAGGTGGGAGGCAAATGGAAAGGCCAGGTTCTTCTCAGTGATGCACAGCATGGGACAAGAAGTAATGGCCTAAAGCTAGAATGTAGGAAGTTCCATACAAACATGCAGAAGAATCTTTACAGTGTGATGGAGCACTGAAATAGGTTGTCTAGAGAGGTTACAGAGCCTCCTTCTATGGAGATATGCAAGACTCATCTGAACGCCTACCTGTGCAACCTACTGTGGAGAACCTACTTTGGTAGGGAGGTTGGACTCAACCTACTGAAGACCCTTTCAACCCCTGCAATTTTGTGATTCTGTGTGGAACCACTGAATGAGAACACCTTTTTCATCTCTACCTTCATTCCAATTCAAGAATGGACACTTCCTGGAATTTGTGTCAGACACAGTAAGCAGCACGTTTTGGTCAGACAAGTAACTGTACTCAATGCAAAGCTCAAAAGAAAAAAAAAAACTTCAGGGATTTACTAATTGTCTACTAGATAGGGAGATGCAGGTGATTTTCACCAAAAGTCAAAGAAAGGAGATGCTTTCAAAATCAAAGATGTTCTTCCACTTTTAAGCTTCTAACTTAAGGCTACAATGAAATAACTAAAAAGACACAGCTATATTTCTGATACAGACTCTTAGATGTTTTAAACACAGCAGCCACTGGACTCCCATTCCATCAAGCTGGAATTAGGCATGTATATTGGACCCCAAAACATCTCTGGTTTGTCTACAGTACAACCATTTCAGGCTCAACTGCTTTGGCCAGTGACTCAAAACATTTAAAACTGCTTTCAGACAGCTAAAAATTACGAACCTAAGCTAAAGGCCTAAGATCCTATTCCCTGGGGAATGACTGTCAGTAAGTTAAAACAAGCAATTTAACATACTAAGAACTTTTCAAGGTTTTTGCCAAAAACACCTACTTTGATGATGTCTATGGTCAAATGACTACAAGAGTTGGCTTACTAACCAAAATACTAAAAAATGTCTGTCAACAGAGGCTAGAGTTTCTTTCTATTACTGGTTCTTCCTTTAAGAAAGTGGCAGACATTGGAAATAGTTGTGTCCTGAAAGCTTACCTTCTAGTAAGTCTCTGGCCAGACCTGGTTCTGCCCCTGTGGACCGAACAAAGTCTGACAGGACTGCATCCATATCAAGAGTCATGTGATCATTCAGAGATGCTGCCAGACATGAGGCAGCAGCAGGACTCGCCGATTGGCTAGAAGGCATCCATCTGCCAAGGAGAAAAAGAAACAAAGTTATGGAACATACTGCAAAATGATGGAAATGTTGTTTTTCCTCTCTTCATCAAACACTGCTAATAGAAATGCTAGAACATACAAGTTATGATATTTAACAGCATTTATCATTCATCTCTGCCTTAGCCTAGAAGCTTTTGGTCACTCACGCTTTCTTCCTAGTTCTCTTTTTTTATTATTTTTTAACATTTCATATTTTTAATCGATTTTTCTTATCTGCAGCCTCTGAGTAATTCCACCACTTGAAGAATCAAACTAAATGCATGCACTTTTCATTCCAAACACAATGACCATATCATTGTCTGCAAGGATAGAAATTCTCATACACTGAAGTTTAGCAAATATTTAAATGTTTGACTAGCCTCCAGCTCTTTTGCTTTACTAATGCTAACACACGTAGGACAGAGTTCAGTATTTGTTCTTTTATCTACTCTCTCTCTACCACTTCCGTAACTTATTGTTTCCCCATTACGCTGTCAGGCTTAGATGGACTTTACTAACTAACTTCCTAGGTTTGTGACTAACACAGTGTTGATAACACATCTATGTTCTAGCCACTGCTAAGAAGTGCTTACACAGCATCAAGCTTATACACCATCTCTGTTTCCCACCTTGCCCATCCAGAGGCTGTGAAGGAACAGAAGTATGACAGTGACCCCAGCACACCAAAGGGACGTTCCACGCCATGTAAATATCATGCACACTAATAAAACTGGAAGAGAATCTTTCTAAAGTAGCTGTTGCTTGGAGACTGGTTAGGCATCAGTCTGCTTGTGGGAGGTGGTGAGTGATTGTCTTTGCGTCACTTGCTTTCCCCCCCACCTCCTTCATCCTTCATTTTAATTAAACTGCTGCTATCTTGATCCATGACTTTTTCCTCCTTTTGGCTCTTCCAGTTTTCTCCCATCTCTCTCTGTAGGGCTAGGGGGACAGTGACTGAGCAGCTGGGGGGTGCTTAGCTGCTGGACAGGATTAGCAAACTCAGGGCTTGTTAAGGACAGCAAACAGCAACAGAGAAAAGCAACGTTGTTTTCTTTGCATGGGAGAATAATCAAGCAAAACTGGCCTAAAGTCTAATTTGGTATTTGACCCATGTATTGCTGCCATCTCCCAGTTCTCCAGAAATGATCTCATTAAGACAATAATTTTATCTTTCCCCTCCTACTCCTCCTCCTCTCCTTTCCCTCACTTTGTGAGGAAATGAAGAACAGCAACTCCCTCCTCTCTCTAGGATAGACGCCTCCTGCCTTGCTGAAACAGCCCCTCAGTGTCTCAGACACAGATGTGTAACCAGAATGCTCATATGATGCAGAAAGATTGCAGGTGCCATCCAGGTAGAGGGAATTACCACCTGTCTTCTCTGACACCGTGGTATGGAGGTCTAATTGGGAAAGACAAAGTCATTAGCAGCTCAGATCCACCCCTGTGGGCTAGACAGTCCACAAAAGGACTAGAAAAGGGCAAAAATCCACATATTCTGCATACAGCTTCTGTTCAGTATAAAGGCAAAGCATCCTCTGAAAGAAGACCTTGCAAACTACCAAGGTAAATGGACTAGAGTTAAGAATGGTATCCAGGATATGAGGCAATTAGCAGTGGTTGGAGGTGCTTTACAGCAACCTGGAGAGCAACCAGTCCTCCAAAAATTTACATGAAGTCCAGCATCTGCAGTCCGTGTCACCGAAGTTTGTATGGAACACACCAAGGCCATATATCAGCACCTCAGTGACAATGGACTGGACAGCCACTGAGGTACCAGCTGAGGACAAACTAGCCTGCTGGTCTCAGAATATGCAGCACATTTCTTTCTAAAAAGAAAAGCTTAAGTGGAAAGCACAGCATAAAGGTGCCCAGTATAAATTACATCACTGTCATACACCGAGACACTCACAGATAACTGACGTTCTAATTAATAAACCTCAGCCAGGTGACCTCCAGGCAAACAATTCAACAGAGCACAAAGCACACCGAACACAGCTCAGCTGAACACAGAGCATCCTTCCAGACTCCAGCATTTCTGTAGCTGACTTTCTGGTGGAAAAACCCTCTCCACAAAGCAAAAAAAAAAAAAAAAAACCAACACCTGCAACAAGGAAGCACCAAAAACTTGGACCGACTGAGGTTCAGCTGGCAGAGTTAGGAAAGGAAGGTCCTAGCTAAAGTTCACTTCTCTTCCTTTTTTCTTTTTCTGAATAAAGCAATTAGAGCACTGGTTAACACAGCCAGGTACACGTAAGTCTTCATTCCTTTTAATAAGTAGTTATACCTAACTCCTGCCCTGACTCTCATCTCTTCAGGGCTTCCTAAAGCTGTCATCATGCAGTACCAGTTTAATCATTATCACAGACTTTTTTCTACTTCACAGCAGGATTTCTCATCTCAAGGCCAAGTGGCTCAGTTTTAGCAGCCTGCTGCCAGCTGTGAACACCAGCATGGCACTGAGGCAGCCCTGTACAGGGCCATGCCCAGCTGCCAGCAGCAGAACTCCAGAAATCCGAGATGGTGCTGCAGACACAGCCTGTGGGGCTGGTTCCAGCCAGCTATGCCATGACAGTGCAGGACACGGTGCCTCTCTGCAAGCAGTCATGCTTGATATTAATTTGGAAGGTCGGCTTTGAAAGAGTGAGAAAACAAGCTGATATTACTGTGTTTTGTATCTACTTTTCTTTTTTTTCCTAGAGAAGTCAAACCCAGCCTTCAACATAATGTTTATAAAATAAGGAAAGAGAAATTTAAGCTGGCACCTTGAGAGTAGCTAGTAAAATAGCTGGCATCCAAAACAATTATGCTAAAGGTATTCCCCTGCTCATTGCAGGGGAGTTGGATTAGATGACCCATAAAGGTCCCTTCCAACTCAAATAATCCCACAATTCTACTATCTCCTTATTCTAGCCTGCCTACACTGTTGTAGAAACAGCACAAAGCAAATACAACTGGACCACATTTAACACACAACTTAAGCACAGGTGCGGATCTTACTCTCATTCTATTTGTCATTGGTCAACATCTACCTTTAAATATGAATTAGATCATTCCTGCTAACTCCTCACAGGCTCAGATGCAACTTTGCCAAGTGTAAGGATGAACACCAACATTCCCTTCTGGGAACAGATGATATGGGCTGGCTCTTGCTTGTACCACAGCTACAGAGGAATCAAACTGAAGAATAATTAATTAATTAATAGAAGGAAGCAGTTGATTTCCCTGTTACCTAAAGGAACTAAGGTCCTTTCCAAAGGATCACCATGGGACAGGAAACATTTCTAATAGTTAGAAGAGGTGGGGTAAAAAAAGGAAACCTGGAAGTATTGAAATGGAAGTATTGAAACCTAAAAAGGAATGTTGCACTTTCTTTTTCTTTACTTTAAGAGTACTACCTTAGTCAATCATGGCCAAAGTCAACATGTAAGCTCTGTAGCAACTGAAGCCTTTTTCTCTGTTTAAATAAAAATGGAGGATGATAATGCTGCTATTGTTTGATACATTCTCACAGACAGATCCTCTCTATTAAACAGAACCTAACATCCATACAAAAAGACCATAAGAAACCAAATCCAAGAGATTTCTTCAGTGACTAGGAGCATGAGGCGAATCTTAACCGGCAGGAAGGAAATATACGGACCACAGTAGAAGAATTTGCTGCTGGTGAGTGATACAAAGCATTAGAAAATTTCAGATTCTAATACTCAGTGACTCAGTAGTATTGAGTTTATCACTAGTTATTTCAAATGCACCAGCTGGGCAATCAAGTGCAGTCATTATGTCTGTGTGCTAGACTGCTCATAAATTTTGAAAACTCAAGTGCCTATCAGTCTGAAGAAGTCAGTTCATGAGTTGCCTCAGTATCAGCATTATTTCAGTATTTTTCACTTTAGTATTGAAAGACATCCTTTTAGCATTTGAAGACAGGACTGATCTCTGCATTTATGACATCAAACACCCCAGAATTCCCTTGTGATTACATGACCATCGGAACCCACTCAGTAACCACATCAACAGAAGCACGTTATTTTTAATTCAGCAAAGGTTAAGTAATGAAGATCTTTTCTATAAACTAAGTTCTTTCTGGTTCACTGGCTACATGTAGAAAACTGGTCATCCCCGCATACCGACAGCTGATGAAAACATTTAAAAACCAGAGATAGCACTTGCTGCTTTCCTGAGAAACAACAACATAAACTGAAATAGTATCCAGATTCTGTTATACAACAAATAGTAGTTTTACAGCTAAAATACAAGTGACTTATGCTGATTGCTAAGACAGCATTAAACCAGATCTCTCAAATCCACAACAGCATGAGGAATGCTCTAGTTGAATGCATCTTCTGTGCTTGTGCACTATGCTATACATGTCTCTAGGATCTGAGTCTTCTAGAAGCACTTAGAATACCTGCACAAAAGCATCTATGCTATGTAGATTTTCCTGGTACTCATCAGACCTGAATTTACAAAACAGCCTGAATTAGTGGTGTTTATTCAGACAGAACTGCCTGAAAAATGGACGGGTTCATACAGCCACATGTTCATGAACGTTAAAATTGAAAGACAACTAAGAACAAACCCATCACTGATTACTTGAAGTAACCACTGGTTCATCATTATGGACTACTTAAAGATGAAATCAGACATGCAGAGATGCACTGACTGGAGCTGGACTCGTGCTCAGTTCCCTGGAAAATTCCAAATTTTATCTGTGCTGTATTAAGCATATCCGAAGCTGTAAGAAACAACTAAAACCCCTGCTATGCAAGCAACTGAGTAGTGGCCTGCTGCGGAAACTCTTTTCTCATACACTGGTCAAGCCTTACAAAGTCTCTGAAGTATTACAAACTTGAGGTGGTACTACTAAGCCCATAAAAATTAACAGTTCTATTGAAAAAAGTCTCTAAAGACAAATTACTAGGTCTCTTACTACAGCAATATTTTGTTGTTAGAACTATATAAACAATTTCACTTTTTTATTTCTTTCAGCAGA